GGCCCTCCGCTTTAGCCCCTCTTTAAGGCCCTCCCCCTTTAGCCCCTCCTCCAGCCCACACCCTTTAGCCCCTCCTTAAGGCCCTCCGCTTTAGCCCCTCTTTAAGGCCCTCCCCCTTTAGCCCCTCCTCCAGCCCACACCCTTTAGCCCCTCCTTAAGGCCCTCCGCTTTAGCCCCTCTTTAAGGCCCTCCCCCTTTAGCCCCTACTTAAGGCCCTCCCCCTTTAGCCCCTACTTAAGGCCCTCCCCCTTTAGCCCCTCCTTAAGGCCCTTTTTTGCACCGTTGGATGACAGTGGCACCTCAGCATGCGCCGAGTGCCTCCCAGCCTTCGCCGCTTCGTCACGGCGCTAAAAGTTCAAGTTAGTTGAACTTTGACCTCTAGCAAAGCAGCATCCAGTCAGATATAATCTTTGCTTTGTGACGGGTAGAATAGGCAACTTGGAAACCAAACCGCTTAACGAAGTGGAGGAGAAACGAATAATTGCAGTGTTCCAGTACTCGAATTATTTAACGTCACGTGAAAATCATATTGAAACATATTGAGACTTGGAGGGGTTGGTTTTAGTAAGCATATCTATCTAATGAAACTAAAGTAAACATACTTATAAATACACTTCTAGATCCAACAGCAAGAGAGCAAATGCCTTTTTTGGTGTAAACCAACAATGTAACTCATTTTTTTTCAAGCCGAAAAACACTTTACAATCGCACTTATTTTTATATATACATTTTTTTTAATTGTGTGGAGTGGATGCAGCCTTAGTCCACACTTCCTGGAGCTCTCACTGGTTACAATAGGAATGTCTGTGATGAATGACCTGAGGGTTGGTATCCTTGCCCACACAGGTGGTCTTCAAGCCCCTGCTTAGCCACACTGGCATCCAATCCCAGGACGCCACGCCGCTGAGTTACAAGATGTACTTTGGCGAGCATCTCTCCTTCTCTGGGACCCTGGAGTGCTTGCGGGCGGACATTGTGGACTCAGACACTTCTAAAGAGAGGAAGCACAAGCGGTCCAGAAGGTGGGCCATACTAGCGTTTAAATGCAAATTGCACTGTTAGTTTCTTGCTTTTACTTCACTCTGTACTTTAGAGCAGATTCTGGTTGCCTGGCGATTGGAGGGAACATTGGCATCGGCTTGTCATCTCCCCCATGCTCCCCGTTTGTGTCTCAAATTTTACTGTATTTGACTCTCCCTGCCGGCCCCTGGAGAATGGGCTCCCCCTTTGAGTCTGGTCCCTCCCAAGGTTTCTTCCTTCTAGGGAGTTTTTCCTTGCCACTGTCGCCTATGGCTTACTCACTGGGGGCTTTGGGTGGGGATGCTGTAAAGCGCTTTGAGACGATGTAATGTTGTGATAATGCGCTATACAAAAATTAATTTGTTGTTGTTGTTGTTAAGACAGAATGTTATGACTGGAGATACTTCCAGCTGAGATATCTAAAGTTTATGAGTCATCTTGAAAACTGAAATTCTGCGGCCTATTTCACATTTGCTTAGTCTTACTGGGTGCCGTTTTTAGGCCAGGAGCAGTGAACCTCCCTCCCCTGGAGTTCAAACCGGCTCTCATGATCGAGACGTTCAGCCTGAACACGGTGGCCATGGAGAAGTCAATGAGCACGCCACAGAACTCCACCAGCGCCCTTTCATTTCACGACCTCAATCGGCGCCACTACAACACCTTCCACTGTAATTTCACCATCTCCTGCCAGTCCATCAGCCAGCACGTGGACATGGCGCTGGTGCGCCTAGTGCACCAGTTCAGCACCATGGTCGACGACATCAAGGCCACGCAGACCGACATCAAGCTGAGCCGCTACACAGCCGGCTCGGCCTCCCCCACACCAACCTTCAAAGCTCGCGCTCCACGTGACTTCCGCTCCTCTGACTTCAGCCGGAGCTCTCGCGGTAGCCTCAACGGCACCATCCGGGCCGGCAACCTCAAGAACAAGCGTGGTGTTGCCGGGATCAGTGGGCCTGGCCTGGACACGCTGGGCCGGAGGGAAGCTCGCGCCAGGGGCTCCCTGGGTCGCCCCGAGCGCCGGACCTCCAGGGTGTCGCGCAAGGGCTCCCGCGATGCTGCCGACCACACTGCTGTTCAGATGGATGACTCCGACTCCATCACCGTGTCAGAGCAGAGCGAGCCCTCGGCCGAGTGCTGGCAGAACATGTACAAGCTACTCAACTTCTACTCTCTTATCTCGGACCCCACGGGCATCCTGGAGACTACTTCCCCCGAGAACTGCCTTGCAGGTAGGGATTCAGTAAACCTGGAGCTTCAGGAATACCTGGTGGAACGTCAGTGACCGGTAGCTTGTGTCTAACCCCAGGTATCCCCTTTCCAAATTCGGGTAAGTAGGCAAGTAAGACCTTCATAACAGTTCATGGACCTCAGTAACATCATGAGACCTTCATAACCATGAGTAGCCTTACAGAAATAGCATTTGGCACTTCTCTTTGAGAAGGATAAGAGATACTTATACTGATTTTTGAAGCAAGTATACTTTAGGTAGATGTAGTTCCCCTGTGACTCTTCTGGTCATCCTCTTTGTACAGATGGATTCACTGGTAGTACTTTGCCTGGCACAATCTACTTGTGCATTTGTTGTTTATAGATGTTGGGCGTAGTCCATCAGACGGCAACTGCCGCGTGGTCTTCGAGAACGAGCAGGAGCCGTCCAGCCCGGGCAGGCCAGGCCGGCGGCGCAGTGTTGGCAACACGGAGCCGCAGCACGTGACACTCATCGTGTTCGGCGTGGGCATGGTCAACCGCACCCACCTGGAGGCTGATATTGGCGGCCTGACCATGGAGGCTGAGCTCAAGAAGATTCATGGCAGCTTCACACTGAAGGAGAAAATGAAAGGTGAGCGCCCCCTGTGGGACCTCATTGGAAACGCAGTTCAGATCAACCCACTTGTCCTTTTGGTCAACTGTGAGGTGGACTTCCCAGGTTTCCACTTGTATTATTCACAACCATAACAACTTTCCTAGGAGTGTAGATCCACAGGTTCTCCTATACGGTTCTCTTTATAAGGTTTTAATACCTTGCACTCTTTTCATTTGGTTTTTGGTGCTAATCCCATGGAATACAATCTAAATGATAGAACATTAAATCAAGACATGGACATTAGTAATATATATGAATATAGTGGGACTGAATGGCATTCTTTCTGTGGTGTTTAAAGCACCAAAAAATGCATTTTAAAAATTCAACAGTACTGTCTCACTAGAATTCATGACCCAGTTACTCAATATAATCTACAGACTTTGCAGTGAGCAGTTTAATTCAGGAACTCCACACACCAACCATATCACTGCAGAGATGATATCACCAGGCTGTTTGTATCTTCTGCGCACTGATACGTTTGGTATGTGGAATTAGATAAATGAAAGTGGCTAATATCGCCAAAACTAGGCAACTTCCAGCAGGACAACCTAGATGGATAGACAGCACTGCAACCACTCTAAAACATTTCTTTATCAGTATTGCGGTGAACTGCCCCTTTAAACATAGAAATTTTAGTCCTCTTGCCAAATGAGCAAGGGGTGTTTATTCTGATTTACGTAGGTAATTCATAACCGGGTTCTTTTTCTATAATGTTAGCATGCCCTCTCATTAAGGTTACGGTGAGGGTTAGGGGTTCGTTTTTGGTTCCTCTCCTCTACTGTCACCTTTCTTTCTTTCTTTCTTTCTTTCTTTCTTTCTTTTTCTTTCTTTCTTTTTTTCCATGGTTGTACATAAAAATACATTGAATTGGACATTGTTTCTCCTTGAGGAGTAGAAGGGCGTCTGGTTGTTGTCCAGGTGATCTGACAGGCAGTAGACCAACGCTCACTCTTTCCTCTCCCTTCCTGCCTCCCTCCCTCAGATATCTTGCATCAGAAGATGACGGAGACGTGCGCGTCTGCACACATCGGGGGGGTGAACATCGTTCTGCTGGAGGGCATAACCCCGAACATACAGTGAGTGCTCATCTGTCACAGAAATGAGCTCGATGCTAATTCCATTCATTCCTGAAACTTCCAGTTTCCGTTCCCTTACCTCCTCACAGAATTGCTTTCCGGATTCCGCATGCATTCAAAGTATCTGATGCTTGTATTTCATTGACCATCTCACAGTGATTTATGAGTTACTCTCATAAATGAAAGCTTGTTAATTATTGGACTTTTAAAGTTAATTACAATTTAATTTTAAAGCCACCTGCAATGGAGAAACAGTGAATACAGCTATTATTTATTTATTCATTTATTTTTACATGTTACAATCTGGTGGAATGCAGCATATCCCAAAATGAATAGGAGTTATAGGTTTCTGTGTTTAAATGGGCTTATGCACAGTAATTGCATTTTAGTGAAGTCTGAATAACTGAATAATCAGTCATTACTTCATTATAAAAGATATACTTGCTCTTAGAGGTAAATAAAAAAAAACTGTAGTTTTTTTGTGCATTTCACAAGGTACTAAATAACATCCATATCTATATTGGTACAATTTTGTTGATTTTTCAAGAAAATTTATAGTAACCTCAAGCTGAAAAAGCTGTATATTTTGGACTATGCTGTCTGCTAAGTACCTCTGCATGAATACTCATCAGATATTTGCTCTTCTTTCTATATTTCTTTTTATATACTTTCGTAGACTGGAGGATTTCCCTACATCTCCTACCAGCACAGAAAAACAAGAATTTCTGTATGTGGACAATCCTGCATTCAAGGGCTTGCACTCTAACTCCCCCTAGTGGGGCTAGCCTGGATGTGTAACTTCCATTCTGTGCTGACATGTGTGTGCGTGCATGTGTGCCTGTGTGTGTGTGTGTGTGTGTGTGTGTGTGTGTGTGTGTGTGAGTGTGTGCCCATAACGTGCTCAGAGGCGCGAGTGTGCACCTAACACGATGCTTCCCCAAAACGGGTGACCTTCAGAACTCAGTCCAGCTTTGGGAGATGGGGCTCCCTGCAGAAGGACAGATAGCGCCCCCTATGGATGCGATACCACCAAAGACTCACAAGTAGACTGTCGTACCTTTCCCAGTTGTTACAGTGACTGATAGGTTGCCATCTTGTTCATGTCACTGTTTAGTTGCTCAGACATTTACATAAATAGTGACTTGTATACCTTACAGTGCGACACTATTTACTTATAAATAGTGACTTGTATACTTTACAGTGCGACACTATTTACTTATAAATAGTGACTTGTATACTTTACAGTGCGACACTATTTACTTATAAATAGTGACTTAGTATCTTAAGATGAATGACTGGTTGGTGACCTGTACCATCAACCTTGCATTATGCACCTGCTTGACACTTGCTCCTAGCTGACAGGCTTGTGTCCCCAGTTACGGAGACCCATATCACCAGTCAGGCCTTTACCCTCTGTCAGGTTTCTCGTTGCCTCTCTGTCCTGTGTCTGACCCCGTACAGTCCCCTTGTATCTGAAGAGAGCCCATTGTAGCAGCTGAATGTTTCCTCACTCACACAGCTCAAACTAGTCCAAAGAAGCTGTTCTGTTTTTTTAATGTCTGTGGTCTCGTCTCGTCACTGTGGTTAGAGGGTCCTTCGTTGGTGAGGTCCACCTTACGGGGCTACATTTTGTCCTTAGCATGGTGTATTCTGGCAGGTCCTTGCAACCGTGTTCAGACTTCCCCTGGATGTTCTGTTAAAATGGGCTGTTGCTTTTGCATGTCTCACTTTGTAATGCCACAGAAAGAGGAAAACGAAGGTCTGAATACTTTTGTAAGTGTCCTGTAGAACATCCAAAACCACAATAACCACACGGAGAATAAGTGTGAACGGCTTAATAAAATGACAGATATGTTGTGCCTTATGAATTGTAGACTTCAGCTGCATGTTTAAGTTTCATCATTTATTTGTTACCTTTAGCCAAAGAAACTTAGTTTTTTTCCCACTATTTATCTAGATACATGATCTGGGCAATTCAGGGTATGTACTTTCCTCAAGGGTCCTGCATTAGAGCTACCTTTACCGACTTGTTTCATAACTTAATATTTCCATTACCTCAGCCACTACGTCTCCCCTTCTCATTGTTAATTTCATTGTTTATTAATGTGGTCGGTGGTGAATGTGGAGAATTAATGTAATGCTTGCTAATTGGCCAGAATAGCCTCTGCTAGCTGTGGCCATAGCCAATTAGAGTTGGTGCGGTAACCGCCTATACTGAGTAATTGCGTAGCAGCATATCCCAGAAGGCCGTGGGCCGAGGCGGCCCAGTTTGGGGGGGCTGGGCACTGACCGGCCGCTGTGCCTTGCAGAACGGTGGTGAAGTGCAACATCGCCAAGTCGCAGGCGCTGTACAGCGCGCAGCGCGGCATCAAGACCAACAACGCGGCAGTGTGCAAGGTGGGCACCATCATCATCAACATCCCGCAGCATCCCGCCACGCTGCACAGCATGATGGTCCGCAGCTCCCACCAGCTCTCCAAGCAGATCTCGGACCTGATCCGCCAGCCCGCTGCCGCGTGAGTCTCACAGCCCCCTCCTTAGCGCCATCCCTGCTTTCAGAATATATGTATTATCAGTTTTCATAATCACAGTCAGTCACCACCCATCCATCCATTATACTTGTGTCTTGTGTGGTTTTATTTACTTATATATCTATTGATTTTTTCTTTGTGGGTTTAGGCATGGGGTTGTTTGCTGGTTATGTGGATGCTGACTCTTCTCCTGTAAACTAAATTTACCTACGGGTACAAATAAAGTAACCTGAACCTGAACCCCATCCATCCATCCATCCATTTATCCAAACCATTTTCCCAGACTTGTTCCATCTGTATTTCCTCCCTTACACTGTTCTGGCTCCTTGCTCCCTTCTGACCCTCATATCGTTGTCAACCAGTGTGTTTTTAAAATCACTTTGTCATTCCACAAATTGAAACAAAAATTAGGTTCTTTAGAGCACCGGTAGGCAGTCTCATCCAGAAAGGGCCATTAGGTATGCAGATTTTCCCTAATTAAACTAATAATTAGAGGACCGATTGGCTGAAGGGGCCTCACACCTGGGTTTGAACAGCCAACCTAAAGGTTACCCCAAAAAGCTGCACACTGGCCCTTTGCGGATATTGCCCACCCCTACTTTAGAGCATAGCCAGCCAGAACAAAGAACTTGAACTATAAAAACTTAACAGTAAATATTGTAAAATATGTAAAATAAAAACAATGCACAACAATACACAATAACAATGACACAGGACAAATAGTACAGAGTAGACAGTGGTGCAGGACAGTGCATATAGACAGAGGACAGTGCATATAGACAGAGCACAGTGCATATAGACAGAGGACAGTGCATATAGACAGAGGACAGTGCATATAGACAGAGGACAGTGCATATAGACAGAGGACAGTGCAGAGAACAAGACCAT